TGGGTTCCGACGAGGAGGATTTCGTGTTTCACGGGACGCCGATTGAGCGCGAGGATGAAATCGGTAGCCGGAAGAAGAAAGCAGTCGCTGCGGCTTCGGGAAATCTGAAAACTCTCCCTGCTTGGAAGCAAGAGGTGAGTCTTTTGATTCTTATGGCCTTCTCTTTAGTTGTGTAGAGCAATCAAGCTTCGATAAACCCGCTTCAGCCATGAACATGGCAGCTTAATAGGTTTCATGCTCTGAGCAGAGATGGCTTTGCTCTCTTTCTTCACGGTTTTTGAAATTGGAGTAGTGGGAGCTTAAATAGTTTGTAAGATTGTGAGTATACGGGAATTAAGCTTAGCAAGGGAAATCGAAGTGAATGTCTGTACTGGAGCTGGTTTAATACTGAGAATCATGTTTATCGGAGATTGATATGTATCTGAGATTTTGTTATTTGTTGTGTTTGTTCTTTCTTATTAATGTATCAATGGATAGTTGTTAGATTGGTAATCTGCATACAGGTGTTGCCTTGTTGGTAGTTTGAAATATGCATTTACAAATGTTGGCAACTTCCTTGGTCTCTAGATGCAAACTTATTTAAGCAATCTGCATGGTTTTGCTTACAATTCATTGCCTAGGTTCCTAGAGCGGATGCTTTCATTCATGATTTGTTTTACTGATAATAACGTCAATATGTACATAGTCTTATTCTATGGGAATGCTGCTTATACCTCGAGTTTTAAATCCTCAGGTAACTGATGAAGAAGGCCGGAGAAGGTTCCATGGAGCTTTTACTGGTGGATATTCTGCTGGGTATTACAACACAGTCGGGTCAAAAGAGGGTAAAATTTTAAATTACCCGTTTGGTTTTAGATTTTCATCCGTACTTTGATGTTTACATTCTAAGTTGAATTTCAGGCTGGGCTCCACAGTCATTTACGTCATCAAGGAAGAACAGAGCTGGAGCGAGAAAGCAAAATATTTCAGACTTTCTAGATGAAGATGAAAAGGCGGTATGTTACATCTTCGTCTCTCTTTTAGATTCTGTAAAGCTTTATTTCAAGTCAATTGTGTTTAAGCTTGTCAAGGTTGATTACCGCGTATTGCATAATCCTTCTGTAACACATCTCTGTGGAATACGTGAAATATATGTGGAACGATGTTAAGCCATCAGTGCTTTTGCATTTCAGGAGTTGGAGGGCCAATCACTGTCTGCAAGCTCACAATTTGACACATTTGGTTTTACAGCAGCCGAACAATCTCGCAAGCAAGCTGAGAAAGACCAGTATGAGAGGTATCTATACACATTTTGTCATATTCCTTAATGCTTTTCATGCATTGTTGTAGCCTGGTCAGAATTCTGGATTCAATATCCCACTATTCTTGTCAATCTTTCTACGACATTTGAATTATTTGGAAGTTTCTTTGGAGCTGTGTTTAGGCTGTTTTTTCTGGGTTGCTCCATTTTTGCTTTGGCATAATTAATAATGTTTAGACATTGTGTGATAGTCTGTTTTTGATAAGAAGTTGCTACAGCTTAAGGTTCCTTTTCTCTGATTTGGGTTGGCTATGAAGTTGCTATCTATATAATTTATGGTTCGTTTGTAACATTTTTTTTTATCTATCACAGGCCATCAGCCATTCCTGGCCCAGTGCCTGACGAACTTATATCTCCAGTTTCAGAGTCAATTGGTTGGTTTCTAAAATGCTCTTTAATATATGCAATACCTCCATTTTTGCCGTTCTCTTTTTTGTTTTCAATGCATAGAGTAAGGAAATCTTGATCTCAAACATATGTTTCTTTCTTTTGTTTCAGGGGTAAAACTTTTGCTAACGATGGGATGGCGGCGTGGTCATTCAATAAAGGATGTGCGTGCTAGCTCAGGTTTGATCTTGTTTTCATGCAGTAATCCGTCTGTACTTTTTTATTTTGGAAATTCACAGCAAGCTACTCTG